ACAACAAAAAAAAATCTTAGATGATTTTTCAACATGAGATTGTTTCATTACTTTCAGTGAGTAGTTCCTGAAATGTTCTCTTTTTATACAAAGACAGAAGTTTTTAAACAGTAGTTCTTACAAATAATCAAATACAGGCTAATTATTCACTATTATTAAATGCAAATGTAATTTTTAGTGCTAAATATCAAGAACTCTTATTTTCCAGAAAATCAAATCTAAGGACATCAGATAAGCAATTTGCTTAAAAGTATATAGTTAGAAGGTAAAGCCAGATTTTTGAAATTATATTCAATTTCAAATACAACATGCCTTTCATTATTCCACCTTAATACTCATTTACAAAGGAGATTAGAGAATTAAATGTTCAAAAATGAATATATTTATAAAATGTTATTCTTACATAAAGTACCTACTTCAGCCATCTCTTCCTCTTCCTCCTCTTCTGAGGTCACTCCTTCTGTTGTCCCATTCTGAAAGGGAAAAGGAATTGTCCAGGGCGATACAGAACAAGCACACACTGGGCACATCAGAAGACTTCAGGGACAAACTATATCAATCATCTGTCACTACAGCTCCACTAACAGAGAGCTTCTTAAAGTTGAAACATTTACTTTTAAATCCAGCTTTAGTTGACACTTTTTATCGGCTTTTTAAGAAGAAACAATTTTGAACCATCCAACTTGATAGTTGCCTTAGGAATAAAAAAAGGCAGTCAGTCAAATATAAAGTAAAGCTGAAAAAACCTTTAAAACATATTCTAATTTAAAATAAGAGAACATTTCACACATATGGGTATGTATATAAGGTTATGGTTTCATTTGCTTAAATATCCCAAACGATGGATTTCTGAAAAACCTTCTTAACTTTGAAAAGCCTGTATATTTCCATAAATACGACTACTTTACATTTAAAAATGTGTTATAAAGGAACAGACACTTCACAGAACTAAGAACTAAAAAATTATCACCATTTCACTAAAGAGATATTTTTTCTTTTTACAACATGTTATTTACCATAGAATATTTCTCTACAAGATGTAATTTATCACTCATTCACAGAGAATCTGATGGGATTTAAGGAGAGGCCTTCATACCTAGTTTTGGCAGAGTTCAACAAGACATGTTTCCTGGACCAGAGCATAGGTTACATAAAGTCAGTAGGATTCTTCTTCCCCAGAAATCCTTGCTTTATTTGTTCCAACTACAGGTGGTAAGGACCACTTATGCAGGAGGCCTACCTTGATTGCCTCTTAGTGTGGGTGTCAGAACCAGAGAAAAAAGAATTTTTTTACGTAACTCAAAGCAGCAGAGTTATCTCCTAATAGACTTATCTCTTCCCTTTTGTCAGGGGTTAGAGAGTCCCCTGCCAACACCCCCCCATTCACATGCCACATGCAAACCATGAGAGTAGCCATAGCAGAGAAGTGTGACAATTCCTAAGGACACCCATATCAACAATTGATATTGATCAATAGTATACCTCATCTAAAAATGTAGCAGATAACCAAGGATCAGAAGAGAAAGACTAGCAATATTTTTTCATGAAGACTAGATATTTAAAGACTGGCAATCTGAAAGAAAGGTACCAAGTTGAACAAGCAGAACAAGTGACCTGAAGCATTATTAATGAAGAAATAAAAGAGAATAAAAAGATTTAGTTGGAATCTTTGGCAGTAACTAAGGAGATACTGCATCTACAAAATATGAAAAGATTACTATGTGAAGGACAAGGCAGTTCGGGGAAATCAAACAGATATCCCCTCAAAAAAAAGAAAGAAATTCATTCAGTAGAAGGGCCAGAGAGCACAACTGACTTAAACAAACAAAACATTTATGATTAAGAAGATAACCAAATTGTGACATTCCCATAGAATGTGGAGAAAAAGTAGACATGGGGACTGAAGAAGAGAAGGAAATAAAAAAGAGTTCAGGAAAATGGAATATGGGAATGAATAAAGAGATCCCATATCCATCAGGTATTAATCTAGAAGACAGAAGTAAAGAAATAGAAGAGACAAATGTTGCCAAACTAAAGAGATTTCAGAATATTAAGTGGCCTGAATGCCCCAAAGGAGTATTAAAAGTAAAACCCCTTACTTTATAGGTAAAGAAAAAAATCTATTCCAACTTACAAACAGAAAAAATAAAAAACAGAGAAAGAAGTAAGAATCAGACAGGTATCAGACTTTTCATTTGTAACAATAAATACCAGAAGATAAAAGTGTAAAGACCCTGGAAGAGACTCAATTAAGGATTTAGAATTCTATATCTAGTTCATCAGGGCAGGAGCTGTATCTGTGTTTGTTCACAACTGGATCCTCATCACCTATACATAGTCAGGTAGAAAGTTGTCGACTGAGTAATAAAAACAGACACTGAGTACTCAAGGAACACTCTATACACATCCCACAAATTCTTTCTAGAAAACAAAGAAAAGACATTATTCATGGGTGTACTTGGGGGTGGGGGGAAGAGAAACACAGAATACAAGAAACAGCAACAAGGAAAGACAGTAGTAAAACCAATGGTTAAGTCTAAGCAATTGCTCATAATGCAGCTGAGAGGTTACAGGGCATATTCTCTGACACAGTGAAAAACTAAAAATCACCCAAAAATCACATGAGAATATTTTAAAATTTCTTTTTTAACTCAAATTTAAGAAGAAATTGACCCTCCTGAGTCAGTAATCCAACTCCTAATTATAAGTACATGCCCAGAGAAATGCTTGCATAGGTATAGCATGAAATATGGACAAGAATGATCACAGTAGCAGGGCTCCTAATTGCAAACTGGGATCAACTCGTGTCTATAAACAGTCAAATGGAAAAATTGGTTATGGTATATTCAAACAACGGACTAAATGTAGCAATGAAAAAGAACTATAGCCACACATATGAACGAATAAACACAATGTTGAGCACAAGACAGATATGAAAGACTATACACATACAGACAGTATGATTCTTAGTATGAAGCTCAAAAACAGGCAACGCTAAATAAACCACATTTTTCAAGGACACATATATGGGTGAGAAAATGAGAGAAAACTAAGGAAAAGGACTGGTACACAGTGAAATGTTAATCTGGAAGGAGTCTGCAGATGGCTTCCAATGTACTATCAATGTTCTTTTTTTGTCACCTGAGTGGTGGCTAGGTGATGAGTCCCAGAGTCACTGTCACTATTTGTAACGCTACACACTAAATTTGTTATATGTTGTCAATACATACTATTTAAAACCTTTTTGTGTGAAATATAGTAGAAGTAACATGAACAAAAGATAAGACTCAAACTACTTAGGAAATAACAAACTATTTAGTAAATAAGTATACTAAATTTTAAGACTTGTATAATAAACTCAAACAACACTCAGAAGAAAATGTATATCCTTACATGTTTGTTAATTATATCACCCTGATTCAATAAACTAAAAAAGAAAAAGGATCAAGATTCAAGCAAAACATGAAAAAGAAAATGTATCAATTTAAAAAATAAAACGAGCTGATTCTTTCAAAAGACCAATAAAATAGACAAGACTCTGACAACTAACCAAGATAAAGAAACCTTAGAAATGGAAAGATTACAACCACAAAGCTGCAGAAAGCCAATACTATGCATATCTTCACAACAGCTTCGAAAGTATAGATGAAGTGATCATTTTCTAGAACCTAAAATTACTAAAACTGACTGAAAAGACAGAAAATCTGAACAGAGCAATACACAGAAAAGAAAAAAGGATCAGATCCAAATGTTTGTTTAAACCGGGGTTGCTCAACCTTGGAACTATTGTCATTTGGAGCCAAATAAGTCTTTGTCATGTGGGGGGAACTGTCCTGACACTGCAGGATCACCAGCAGCATCGCCTCTACTCACAAAACGCCAACAGTGCCCTCCCAGCCAGGTGCGACAACCAAGCATATCTCCAGGTATATCTAAATGTCCTAGGAAAGGCAAACTGCCCCCTGCTTGAAAACTGATTTAAACTGCCCTAGATCGTGGGGGAAAAAAAAAACAACAACAAAAAAGACACAAAGCTTCCCAAGTCATTTTATAAGACTGTGTAATTCTGCTACTAAAATGAAAGAAGAGCCTAAAAGGAAACAAATTATACTACAATCTCACTTAAATAAGAAAAATCCAAAATTAAAAATACCACATCCATTGTGTCCCCCTAGCTATGTAAGTACTGAGTGTTTGCTATGGGAATAAAATTATTCAAAACTAGGAAGTTTCTTCATGTACTTTACAAGTTATTTTACATCCTATATGGAATTATATGCACAATCACGAAAAACAAAGTAGGTGTGCATGATATACTATTAAGTGAAAAACATAAATTTCAGACATTACAGAGAAGGAAAATTGAACACAGAATATACTTTTCTTCCATCCTCTCTCTTTCCGGAGGCTTCACTGGAATTATAGTAAAGAATGACCACTATATAAAAACACAATGATAACAAGAAGAGAAATAGGCCTATCAACAGAAAAGAGAATTCACTTGTGCTAGTGGAGTAAACAAATAGAGCTACAGGTTAGGGGATAATAAGGAGACTAATTTGTTCACAGCACCCTAGAGAAACTCTAAACTCCAAGACACCAAGTATACTAGATAGCCGAAGTGACAGGACGGAAAACAGATTAACCAAAAGTCTATACGTAGGCCAACCCCAAAAACACACTACCCTCCCCCCAACCTCCTCAAACAGAACCCAGGCAAATCTACATCTACCTCAAGCAAGAAACTATAATGTTTCATGTCCAGAGAAACCAAGCAGTTACAGTCATCATTTATTATGACATCAGGAAATAGAGAAGTGGGGGTGGGAGTTGGAAATCAGGTTAAATTCCCCCTAAAAGCTATCAGTCAACAAGTCTTGGTTACAAAGAACTCCCAATCAGCTTTTCAGTACCTCTTTCAAATATGTAGGAAAAAAAAAAGGAAAAATATATATATAAATGAGCAAAAATAAAATATTTGAGGTAACTCTTCAAAAAGAAAAAAAAAGACCAAGATAAATTAGAAAAAAATAGCTTTAATTAAAGAAAAAGTAGAGATGCTAGAGAAGGAGAGGACAAGAGTATCAAAGTAACTCCTTAAAGACACTTAAGAATGTATTACATCTGTAAAACAGAAATAGAATGTTTGAATAATGAACAGTCAAAGAACAAAAAATAAAAGCTCTTAGAAGTTATGGTTTGTCTCTGGAGAGGACCCCCAATGAACCCCAACTCCCAGCATTCATCAACCTACAGAGTCCCTCTCCAACAGTTAATCTGGGCTGGCCCTGTGAGTTGCTTTAACTAATAAATGTGGTAGAAATGAGGCTGAACCAATTCCAGATCTAAGTCTTAAGATGGCCTGGAAGCATTCCATTTTTGTGCTCTTGGAAGCCAAGAATAAGAATTCTGAATACCTTCCTGAAGAAAGAGAAGCCACATAAAGAGACCTGGGGGGGATAAGATGCCATATGGAGAGAAAAGCAATTTGAAGAAATGCCAAGGCGCCATACATGTGAGTGAAGAAGGCATGCTGGACATACCAGTGTAGTCGTGGGACTATCAGCTCCAGCAACTAGCTGACTGTACAGTGAGGCCCGCAGATAAACTGTCCAGCTAAGCCTAGTCAATGCACACAATCATTGAGAGAATGAATAAATTATTGTTTTAAGCCATTAAGTTCTGGGGCAAAAGCAGCAATAAATCACCAAAACAAAATTTAAAGTTACGACTGTCCAAATAAAATTTCTCAAATTCCACAATTTGAAATTAAAAGACAAAAAGATAGACAATAGAGTTACTATAAGACATACAAAGACTCAAGCAAAGAGGTCTAAAATCTGATAAGTAGGCATTCCAAGATGAATAAACAAAGAAAATGGAGAGACAAAGTTATCACAGAAAAATACACATGAATATTTACCCAAGGAGAAAGATTCAAGAATCTGAATTTAAAAGGCCCATCCTTACTAAGTGGCCAGAAACAATAAATTTAAAAAGACCACAACTAAGTATACTACTGTGGTATTTCAGAACACCAAGGAAAAGAGAAACTCTTACAAGTTTCCCAAAAGTCATGCGGAGATGAGTAAGACTCCGAATGACATCAGGCTACAACAATACCATTGGCTACAATACAACAGCACAGACTCCGGAATTCTAAAGGCAAATTATCTTCTACCTAGAATTATATATCCAACCAACTATTAATCAAGTGTGCGGGCAGAATATAACAGCAGTTAACATTTATTAGGCATTTAATATGCTCCAGAAACTGCTCTAGGTGATTCCATCTTCATAGCTCTCCCGAAATACAGGTACTAGTCTACTTCCCCCATTTTGCAAATGGGAAATCGGTGCACACAGTGAGTGATTAGCCCAATATCATACAGCCAAATAAGCAGCAGAACCAAGATTCAGAACTCTGGTGCTCTGACCATATGTTTTGAGAAGTCAGAACTCAGAAAATAAACTATTCTTTTATACTTTCTTAGGATTTTACCTGAGGATATACTCAGGCAAAATGAGAAAAAGTAAGCCAAGAAAGATGATACGAGATCAGGAAGCAATGGATCTACTCAAGCAGAGAAGACAAGAAAAATTTCAAGCTGACAGCTACACAGCGGGCTCAGAGAACCACCCACCGACACCAGCGCAGACGAGCCAACGCCTCCCAAGAGGGAGATCTCACAGAAAAGGAACCCAACATTAACTTCTTAAAACTAGAAGGAGTGACTATTATTACTGTTGTTGTGACTACTAGCATAAGGAAGATATTGCAAAACAAAAAGCAAGTATCATAACAGAGAATTCTACACTATGAAGTCCTGATGATAAATAATGATTATTCATGACTAAACATGATGTTTTAGGAAGGGGAGGTATGGGTAAATGGATAAGAGAGCTAAATCCGTATCTACCATAATACAAAATCAAAAAATTATGACTAAATAGGTAAATACATAAATTTAGAAAAGTCAGAGGTGGTGATAAGCTAGTGAGCTCTTCTGCTTGGAGGATATAACATTTGGGTTAGGCCTTAAAAGAACAGAAGGGCTGAAAAAGATGGCATTCAAGAAGGTAAATGAATACACAAAGGCAAACAATTGAAAAAGCAAGGAATAGTCATGGAAACCAGGAATATTAACAGCAAAAAGGTGCTGGTGGGGAGGGGAGCAGTTGTTTGCCTATCATAGTTAATATCAGCAGCTCCAGAGAATGAAAATGTTATTTTTAATGCCTAAAACAATCCAATGGGAAAACAACTGCCTTCTAAAGAAGATGTATAACAGTAAGAAAAATCATCATAGTTTCACTTTTGCTTGAGACAATTTATTTTAGCTCTTGAACACTAGAGAATTTTTACTTTACCTGACCCGTGGGTAGTGGCTGATCTAGCATCTCAACATCCAGGTGCTTAGGAAGGTTATATAATCTGCAGAGTTCACATATCAACCACTTCAATTGCTGACGAAGCTACAAAACACATTTCAGTAAGTAAGCATTATGTTAAAGATCCCTCAGAAGACATGAATAATGCTATGACTAGTGTAACCAATCCACTAGGAAATGAAAAAAGCTTGCCATTGCTCAATTACAGCCTACAGATAAATAACACTCTTTAAAAAATATTTTTACGGGCTGCTAGTGTAAGAAAGTTACTATGGCTTGAGCACAGTCCCTACAACTGACACAGAGCAAAATGACATCAACAGAGAAGCAGAGGAAGGAGTGCTCCAGACACTGTCCAGCTTTCAGCTGGAAACTTCTTTTCTTAGGAACTTATAACTTCAAACAAGAGTACATTAATACATCAACGAGGTTACAAAAAATAGAGGCAGAGTTGTTGCACTTGGGTCATATAAAATTATCCTTTCCACAGTCATGCTCATTTAAAAGTAGAAGCAAATGTGGTCTAGTAGACAGAGCCTTGGAATCTAGATGACCTTGGATACAATATCTAACTCCCAGCCTTAGTATTCCATCTGTAAAACAGGAAGTTAAAGTCTTCTCATAATGGTGAAGATTAAGTGAAACCTTCTGTGAGAACACCTGGCACTTAGTAGGCTCTTAAGTGTTTGTCTAAAAAACAAACAAACAAACAAAAAACCCAGAAAACCTAACTGGAAAAACTGCAAAGAATAATAACTCCTTAAGTTTCCATTTTTAAATCCAGATTTTTGTAAGCATATTTACTTTAAACAAGTAAGCAAGGTAAATTATGTGCAAAAAACATGTTTTTCATTGTTTTAAAACTGTTTTCAATGTACAAGTTTAGGAATTATGGTTTAAGAATGGTCAATACCTAGGGAGCTAGTTAGGCAACTTACTTCAGTTGGTCAGGAACAGTTGCCTGGACATTTTGGACCAAGAAAACAAACATGGCATTAGAATGGGTTAAATAAAGCAAAAAATAAGCCTCTCCAAAGTGGACAGAAGAGCAAGTAGAAATTAGTAAAGTTGAAGAGTAAAATTATTCAAACAAAAATCCTCGAGCTTACAAGGCAGCAAAGCCCCACTGTGAATTTGTTATACACCCAATAAGCTCCATTTTGTGCTAAGTACATAATAAGGATGAGGTAGGGTGACCTGCATACACCACAGACACTCCAGCCCAACACAGGAAGAGCTATAGGAGAACAGCCGAAAAGGCAGACATGTGGTAGATCGTACCAAGCAACAAGAAAAACAAGGTGACACACCTTCCAGGAATTTCAACTATATGCTCCCCCACCCAAAAAAGTGTTTGAGGGATAGGAAAAAGAAATTAAGATCATGGGGAAGGATTTAAGAAATATTCAGAAGGTAGATGGACTTGTCTTGGAAACTTATTAGATAGTTTGGGTGGGGGAGTGGGGGAAGTGGTCAGGAAATACTGGCATAAAAGAAACTCGAACATAGTTCCCAGGTCAGGCATGGGTGACAAGTTCCATTACTTCATTCTGTCCCATTCACAATCACAAAGAGAATTACTGAGGGAAAACACAAAAGGGGTGGTGGAATACTGGGAGGCAGATGAATTTAAATTTAGATGTAATCATTCTGAACAGCCACAGCACACTGAAGTGAGATCCCTGGATTTATGTGATATACAGACAGATATATGGGTTTGAAACTCAGGAAATACATCTTAACTAAAAATATAGATTTAGGAATCCCTGTAATACAGGCCATGATTTAAGTAATGGGAGTAAAAGATTACTCAGAAAAAAACACAGAATGAGAAGAAAGAAGCCGACTAATACAGAAGAGCTCTGAGGAGGCCAAAGCAGGGCAATGAGAAAAACGGGAGACAGGGATCTGACAGACATCCTCATTAGATCACTAGTTCCCGGAGGACAGAGATGTACATAACCCTGTCTTTTGTACCCACCTCCTATCAGAGCCTCGCATAGAAGCTAGTCAATTTTTTAAAAAGTACTTTTCTGTGTTTTACTATTAACAATCTCCTGTACCTACCCAGGAGAGAATAAAGTATGTATAAACCAGTGCAAGTATAGATTATTTTTACAACAATGTATACAAAAGAGCCAGGTTATAGATAATATTCCACACCTTGCTTTTTTACTTAGTATATCTTATAAAGTTGTATGTAGACTGGCTGCATCCTTTTTAACTACAACATAATATTCTATCATACAACTATACACAGTAATACTCAACCATTTCTTTATTGGCAGACATTAAGTAATCTGTTTGTTGGACTAAGGAATTTTTCGACAAGGAAACAATCAATAGCAGTAGCAAAATGCTACAGATAAGTCAATTTTAAGACTAAAAAAGGCACCACTAGATTTGGCAACAAGAGAGAAAAAATTTTAATGCAACAATGGAGGCAGAATCTAGCTTATAATGAATTAAGTGAATTAAAGGTGAGGAAATTTGGTTTACTCTGTGAAGAAACCAGGCTATGAGATAACTAGCACAGATTACAAGAGTGGAAGATTTTTTTTCTTTTATGTAAATAGATTTTTATAAATAAAATTAGACCCGTTTTATATTCTATGCCATTTTACTTTATGAGTATCTTTTAATGGAGTATTTTAGGCATTGAAAAATAACTACTATTTCTGCTACTACAAAACTCAACACCTTCAGTCTTCAGAGGCGACCTCCTTAAAGGCAGCAGCAGGAAGGCTTTGCCTGTCACTCTTTCCGTCCTATCACTGCCCTGCTGGAGATGCGAGCATGTAGCTGACTGGCTTTTACTTTTCACCTCTAACCTTCCTGATATCGACCCATCTTTACTCTTGTAATACTCTTCAAACTGATGTTCTTCTGTTCTTAATTTTCAGACTAGATATGTCTAAACCACTTATAACTTATTTTAACAAAAATCTATGGTAACTCTTAGATTTAACTCTTTAACTTCTCCAAATGGTCAGTTCTCCCAATACTATAGAATATTCTTTCGTTATTAAGTATTTTAACTCAATTTAACTTACTCTAAGTTCTCAATCACCAGACTCTGCTTCCAAACTTCTATTGCCTTTCTCTGTTCAGTCCAGTGCTAGGACACAATATTTTATTTTATTTTATTTATTAATATCTAGTTGGACAAGTCTCTCATTACATTTCTTAACTTCATTATTGTCTTTTATTATTTACTCTTCCAAACAAACTTTAGTCTTTTGTCAAATTTCAAAAATAAGTCTGTTGCGATTTTCTGTAGAATCATTATACATTCAATTGATAAACTAACATGAAGCTATGGAGATAACTGACATATTTATAATATGGAGTCTGCCATATAGGAAAACCATAGTCATCTTTCATTCCACTCAGCAAATTTTTGTAATTCTCTTGATACAAGACCTGCACACCTATGTTTGTAGGTGTTCAACTGCTATAACTGTCAACACAATGTTTCCACTGTATTTTCTGATTACAGCTGATATTTGGGAACACTACTGATTTTTATGGAATAGACCTTTTAACCAGTCATCTTAAAAATTGTTTTTTCAGTTAATTCCTTTGTTTGTTTTTTAGTAAACAACCACATTACCTGCAAATAAGGACTGAAAGTTTTCTTCAGGGACTTTACAATATCATGAAAAAATGTAAGGATAATGTTAACTTAAAAAGAGGGTATAAAACTATATACAATATGACTTAAACTATTTAAAAATATGTATAAAAGTATATGTATTCTACTAAAAAGAGGAAAAAAAACTGACAGAAAATAGCCATCATGTCAACATTGGTTGTATCAGGTAGAGAAATTATGGAAGATTTTTATTTTCCTGCTTTTTACTTATTTTATTTTACTAGTTCTCTTATAATGGTCATTTACTAGTTTTATAATCAAAGACAAGAGGGCTTTAAAATTTTTATGAAATGGAAAATCATTATTTCTTTTTATTAAAAAAAAAAGCTTTCATCTGCATACCTTTTTGGCTTTTACTTCAGTTACAGACTCTTGAAAGAAAAAGCAATTCCCTAACACTAACACTGGTATCATCCCATCGCTGTTTCCCCTTACATCTATCTCAGTCTCTTTCCCTTTTTCTACTTCCACGCTTGGTTAGTGATCTTCCCTCCAAAAATGCTTGATTGGTTTAAAGTTATAATTCATGTAAAAGAGACTACCTAATTCCTGATCTAAATTACGGCTACACCTATGAGGGAATAAAAAAGAGAAACCAGGTAGTAAACAGAGTTTGAAGGACTGAAAACAAACAAAAAACAATAAAAACCTGGTCCTTAGCTCCTCTAAGGTCATCAAATAATCATCAATCAGGCTTTTACATCATATTACCTCCAAAATTCTATATATAATTTTCACGGGGGGGTGGGGGGCGGGGGAGTAGCTTGGCTTCTTTTCTCACCGAATTGCTGTTCTTAGTATCTTCCAGACGCTCCAAAACTGATGTCAGATTTGGGTCATCAGAGTCCACAAACCATATTGGTGAAGAAGACGGGTAAGATTCCTGTTACAGAGACACTTTTGTTAAACACACACACACACACATACATATATATATATATATACACACACAAAGACTAACCTAGATATACAATTAAACCACACCACCAAATGCAAGATGACCACAGATTTACATAAAATATGTCAAGGAGAAGAAAAGCAACACAATAAAATCCAAGTGTGGAGAAACAAGTTTGTCTTTATGGATTTTTTTTTTAAACAAAATTTTACAGTTTAATCCTACCTGTTCTGTTACATAATTTGTAAGTCTAAAACCAAACAAAATAAGTACTTTACCCAATAAGCAGTATGATTTAAAACAGAAGAGAATATATTGCACAAATTATGTTTCATCAAAAGCAGAAAAAAATGGTATTCATGCACCAAGGAAGAGAGGCTTCCTTCCTTTATAAAGAAAGGTCTAGCATGGCCTGAACTCTTCAGCTTTAACCTTTTTTTAAGGGCTTTAAAATCTGGAATCATAGTAAATCCCTCAAAAAACAAAAACGATTAAAAAAACAAAAGAAAACCGATCTTGAAATACAGTCTTGGGATTTAAACCCTACTACTTTTGCTTTTTATTATAATAAAGCCAGATTTCTAAAATTTGTCTAGATGAGATCTAACTGAATTTTTAAGGTAAACCAAAGGAGTATATATTGAGGCATATGTTTTTAAATCCTTACAAATGCTAAAGATGACTTTTTTAAATCCATCACACAAACTAGGCACTACTATTAGTAGTAATATATATGCTATTATTTCTACGGAAGTTACTTTGAGATTTTTCTCCATTAAATTATTGGCCCTAAAATCAATCCCATTTAATTTTGCCTTTTTCCTAATAATATTCTAACCCTTCTTAGATTGTAGGGAGGAATGTAGCATCTAGAGGAACAGATTTCTTAAACGAGGTTAAGATTTCTTAAATACAACAGGCTTTAGAAAGAAGAACGAACAGCAGCATAGCTGCCACAGGGCTATATTTAGCTTTCACTTGCCACAGGAGTTGGGCTTTGTGACGGGCATTCTCCTTGTACAGCCAGTGTATGTGCTGCAGCTCAGAGGTCAGCAATCTTGAACATTGTAGTAGGCTGCTTCTAAAATGGCCCCAATAATCTTAACTTCCTGTTATTCATGCCCTTGTATAACTCCCTCCTCTGGACTTAATGATTTACTTCTGACAAAGAATACAGCAAAAGTAATGGGCTATCACCTCTGAGATTGGGTTATGAAAAGACGAGAACTTGTGTTGCTCACCCTCCCCTGCTCCCTCATTAGGTCCCTCTGATGGAAGCCAGCCAGCTACTGAAGCCCACATCCACATGGCAAGGGACCGAGAGGCCTGTGAGCCAGCTGGTGACTGAGGCCCTCCCACCACAAGCCTATGAGATGAATCCTATCAAAGACTACATGAATTAGCTTGGAGATGGATTCTATCCCAAACCAGCCTCAACATGACTGCAGCATCAGCCAACACGTTCATTGCCTTAGGAGACCCCGATCCAGGGAACCCAGATAACTGTGGAGACTAACACAAAGAAACAGTGAGATAATGTTTGTTATTTTAAGCTGCTAAGTTTGTTACAGAGCAACTGATAATTCAAACACCATA